CCTCCTACTGCTCTATGGTTCAAGATCGCAATCTGTGGTGCCCATCCTCTTATCACCACTCCCTTCCCCTTCACCCTCTCCTCAAAATCCTCAGGCAACCACTCTGCTTCGTTCTGTCTATTGATATCCCTCACAGCCCAGACAAATAATTGGCCCGAGGCCTCAAGCCCCAGTGCAATTTCTCGCAGCTGATCAGCTGAGAATTCATTCAGGCTACCAAAACAAGCATACACAGCTGAATTCTCCTCCTCCTTATCCAACCACGTAATGAGTCCTTCAAGCTCTGGATTGAACTTCTTCCCTCTATCTGCCTTCTCTGCTTCATCTTTGGTCGACAGCGATAGCGGGCCCACGTAGTATGCCCTCCGTCCATTCTTCCGATAGAGCTCTGCATACTCCGGCTCAAGCTCGACAAAACTGTTCACAACCACGCCGTAGCTCCTCTCTACCGACTCCACCATCGCCTGCGTTGAGTATTTCAAACCCAAAGAAACCTCCAATCTCGTCATCTCTATACGGTGAGGTAGGCCTTCGACCGCGAACACCTCAGAATCATCGTTAACTTTCTCGTAAGGAGTGTAGCGCAGGAGGCTTTCATGTACGCAATTGGCAAACGTGCCATGACCGTAGAACACGATTCTAGGCACGTTGAGTGCCGCAGCGGTGTCCGTGGTCCATGTGAACATAAAGTCGGAGACGATGCAGTCTGGGCGGCGAGAGTACAGGAGCTCTTCAATGGGCTTCTGGAGGGAGTAGAAGGCGATGAAGAAGTCGCGGAAGTCAGGGAAGGTGAGAGAGGCAAGGTTCTCGTTGCCGTCGCGTAGGAGGTGCGTGACGGAGTGGGGGAATGGGACAAGGAGGAGCTCAATGGCGGTGGATTGGATCGACGGGCGGACAAGGGGTTCATTGGCAGGGGTGGTGATTATGGTGGCTGAGATGTTTGGGCGGAGGGCGAAGAGCTTGGCCATGTCGACCATGGGGATCATGTGGCCGGCGCTCATTAGAGGGAGGAAGAAGATGCGGAGGGGGCGTTGATCTTCAGTTCCCATTGTGAGCTTGGTAGTGAAGCGATAGAAGAGAGAAATAGAGCACAAGAAGATGCGGAAGGGGCGTTTGATCTTGTCAGTGTCCCATTGTGGCCTTGCGTGTGAGTGAAGCGGGATAATAGGAGAATTTGCAGAGAGGCAGAGTAAATGAGGTAGAGGGGTTGTGTGGTTCTGCTTCTGTAACGTGTGTCGTTCAGAATGGGAACGTGCAATGCTAGAACTTGAAGCAAACACTTGCGGCGTAACCTGTTTAAGACGTTTAGGTACAGCCTGTGTGAGCCGTGGCGTTATCGTGGGTCAGTTATGGGGGAGATTGTTACACGTTAAAAGGATGCATTCAATTTGAATTAAGGATTTCCTCCTCAGACGAAGTTTTCCTTTTCATCTAGCGTTTGGCCGGTGGGTAACTCAGTAGATTAAAACTAGGGGTTTTTGCTTTTAGATCCATTTGTTTGCCCCATTATTTTTGTAACCCATGTATCTATTAGTTATGTATTTTTAGCGCACAATCTCACATTTTGATCTTATTTTTTGAAACCATCTTAATATAAAATAAGTGGTTTTGGTTTTAAAGTAAATACCAAAGGTGATGGGCTTAAAAGATACAATAATAGTACTTGGGTTTAAAAATAAATGGGAGTAAACAAATGGGTCTAAAAGCAAAAACCCCTTAAAACTATTGACAAATTGTGGAAGCTACTGTTGGACGATGACAACGAGAAAAATGATTTGTAGTAGAGTGTCAAATACGTCTTAACCATTCTAAGTAAGGATGCAAAAACCATTTGGAAGATTCTGCTGCCTTGTACTTGCTGGTGGATATGGTTTAGTAGAAATGCACTCATTTTTAAGGATGTACAACCTGATCCTCTACAAACTGCTTCTAATATAGGTAGATATACAACCTTTTGGGCAGGTGCCGCGGATGAGAGATTGGAAAGGAGACTTCGCCGGGCGGCTAAAAGTGTCGGACTCCAGGAGCTTGCAAATAAGAGCGCTGATGCCACTGGGGATTGCCTTCCTCATGCCCTCTAAACTCAGAAGCCACTGGGAAATGTACCTTTTGTCGGTTATCTACTGATGTTCTACCTCATAAAACTAAGTTGTTTTGTTTCTAAGTATGTTTTCTTCCTGAAATTTAGTATGTAAGTATGTATCTTTGTGCTATCTAGTTGAGGTTCCGTTATGGGTCCAGTTTGGTAGGTGACGACACAGGTCCGCTCCTTACCTGCTTCACCCTATGTGGTTCTTCAACTAGTATTGTAGTAGTTATGTTTATTAATAAAATCTTTAATGAGCAGGGCTTTTTACCCTGCTTTTCAGCTCAAAAAAAAAACACATAAGCATAAAAATAATTTTAAATAGAGTTATCTATTTACTCTAACTAATATCCATCTAAATAAAGTTTGGAATGTACCTCAAATGGCAAAACGCTCATTGTGCAAAGAGCGGTATGATGATCAATACCATGCATGCATCTCTATTTTTTTTCTAAAAAATTGTATTAACTTCTTCAACAAATCACACAAAATTAAAATTAAGTACAAATAAATTATCTATCTATTCTAATTAACATCTTTCAAAAATAAGTTGGGGATGCAGCTCAGATGGTAGAGCGCTCTTTGTGTAGAGAGCGGTATCCACTTTTTTCTATTAATTACATTATTAAAATAACTAAAAATAATAAATAAATATTCATCAACATATAACCGTATTAACTTATTCTACAAACAACACATAACTAAATTTATTATAATTATACCATTTAAAAACACATACAAATAAAAATAATTGTAAATAAAGTTACTTATTTACTCTAACTAGATTTTATGCACGTGCAATGCACGTAGTTAAACACTGTGATTAGGTATTTTTGATTTATTTTCTTACTAAAATTTGTTCCTCGGTTACACTTTGATAATTTTTGCTCACTTTATTTTAAATATTTTTGGTTCATTTTGTTATTAACATTTGTTCCTTGATTACACTTTGATTATTTATTTATATGATGTTTGTTTGAATAGGCTACACCTAGTTTAAATTTTTATGTTGATAGTTAAATTATCAAGAGATAAATATAATCTAAAGCCAATTTAAATTTTTATTTTATTTGGATCGGCATGAAACCGAGCTTGACCTGAGGAAGTATAATATTATGAAAGTGAAAACACTTGAAAAAATTACATTATAAAAGGAAGATGAATAATAAAGCCAACGAGCCAAGATGATTGATTTAAAGTTGGCTAAAATGACAGAAAATAGTTAATGAAAAAAATCATAAACTAAATATTAATGGTAACTCTAGTATACTTTTATATGATAAAAGCATCCACATATACATATGAAAGCACTATAAATAGTTTATGAAAATCTCTTCTAAAGGTTCCTAAGTTTACTAAAAAATTAAACTATTCTATAACAATTCACAAAGCATTATCTTTTATTGCTTTCATTTTATTTTTTTATTGAGTCGAGATCAATCCTTCTTCATCTTTATCTTTTTCCTGGGCAATTCTAGAGTAGTGTCTTCATCGTTTACATCGACTGTGATATGAGGCTGGAGCATGTTATCTTTCCTTGGGCTCATTCATTTTTTGTCTTCTCGTCTAAATTCACAAAGAAGTTGAATATATTTTTTATGTTCAACACAAAATTCTAACAATATGGACTTTGATTTTTTCCTATTTCAATAAGAATAAATGTTAATTCCATATATATGAATTTTTTTGTGCTTTTAATTTATTACTTAAATAAGGTTAGAAGATACCACTTTTTTCTCTGCAATGAATTCTTCTGTTGTCCATCCAATAAGAATTTCTGTTGTGTCATAATGTTACATTTGCTGTCTGTGTCATTTTTCATGAGGGTCTGAACTAAAACATTATATTTTTCTTTATTAATTTGATTTAGATTATAATATTAATATTTAATTTTAATATATTTATTTCATGAAGAAGGGATATCACTTAACCTTAGTACTACATCATCAACGATTCTACAACATTTATCATTTGGACACTTATTATTAACATCACTATCCACTTTCTTATTGCAACCTTTGCAAGCATAGAACCACTGCTCAACTGTATTATAAATGGTAGTTATTGTTGGCCTTCTTGTTTTGATGACGTTTAACAAATAATTTATGACTAATGTTGTTTGTCTAGAATTTATGTTTATCTATTTTTTATAGACAAACAACATGTTAGAGGATGGATGGAATTGCGTCACAACGATCATATCCAATGGAGGCTGGCGGAATAGTAGAGTGAAGTAATGCAATTCAAGTTAAAGATCCAAGTTCAAGCTTCATCCACAAAGTGTACCAAGTTAAGCTACATCGAAGATCAAGATCAAAGCTTGGGTAAATTAGTTTAGGTTTATATTATGTGTGTTGGTATTTTAAGCTCAATTATATACACACACATTTTATTGGTTTCCTTTTATATATATATATAGAAAATACATTTCTTGTTTCATACTTATATGCATATATATGATTTCATCAATATCAATTTTATTTAGTTTCATGAAATCATATTTATTGTTTGCAAAATATGAAATTTTGTGAAAATATTGTATTATCAGTTTTTGAACTTAACAATTAATCATATACATCTTTTATTAAGTCTACAAAATTATTTTTTAATATTTATAAATTATAATCAACTAGTGTTAAGCTATTACATTATAGTCTTTTATTAGTTTTTTTACGATTTAGTCTTCTATTAATTAATGATACTTATGTATTTTTGCTGCTCTAACACATTGATAAAATTTTATGCAGTTACTTTAATTTATATAATAACACTACTTTTTAATCTATCATATATTTTTAAATTTTTTATTCATTGACTGGATATTTTTAATCTGTTATTATTATTATTATTTTACCAGCATCAACTTGACTTATTTTAGATTCTAAAATAGAATAGTAAACCTTAAATTATAAGTTATATTTATATATCTTAATAAAAGAATATCAAACAATTACTCTTTTCTTTGCCAAGTTTTAAAGATTTTTATTTTGTGTAATTTTAAACTTTTGAGAGTATTTTGTCTAATTTTTAAAACTTTTTGCTTTTTTTTATAATACTAATGTAGTAAACTGATACCACAGAGCTGTTTTATATATTTTATTAATCTTATTTAAATTATTGAGCTATATATAGTTCATGGGGTATTAGGATAGGATATAACTATTATTAGATAGATTATAATTTAAATTAAATATTTAAAATAGTACATGGTAATTTTGATTATGGAAAGCTTTTGCCAAACTCATGCTTTTAAAGGGAGTATGATTTTTGTTTTCCTTAATTTTTCTTTTTATAATTTTGAGAATGATTTTTGTCTCTTTAATTTGTTTAGTGGATTTTGTAAATATCTCATCCACATTATGTATGTTTGTAGGTCTGCGCTATTCCTGGGTTCGAACTTTAGAGCATACATTATTTATCTCATTAATTTATTTGGTTTTTACATATACACCCTTCATTTTGTAGACATTTATAAATATAGCATTTAATAATTTTATTTAGATTTACATTTCGATTTAAATTGTATCCTTATCTTCATACTATGTAAATCCAATAAGAATTCATCAATTTATCAATTTACTCTTACTTAATGGATTAATATTTGAATTCCAATGATATTTTTATCTACTGAAAGATTTTTCCCGAACTCGTGCTTTTAAAGAGAGTATGATATGATGATTAATATCCATCTAAATAAAGTTTGAGATGTAGCTCAAATGACGGAGCGCTCTTTGTGCAAAGAGCGGTGTAATGATCGATACCCGATATCTCCAAATTTTTTTCCTTAAAAATCATATCAACTTTTTCTACTTATCACACACAATCATAATTTCGTTGTTAATAAATTATGCTCTTCGTGTAGAGAGCGGTAGGAGGATTGATACCTCGCATATCCACTTCTCTTTAAATTTATTGGCGGGTTTTGTGCGACTCCAGAAGTCATTGAGGGTTTATTGATAATTTTTGGGGTTTGGTGTAGTTTATTCTTGTCACAAGGTTATTTTCGTCCAAGAAGGGGGCACATATTCAAACCTTTAATAAATACTGCAATCTGCATCTATTTAAAGGACAAATTTTCAAAACCAACCCTTTTAGACATTTAATTGCAAAAACCGACCCCTTTTAATAATAATTGCAAAAACCGACCTGTTTTCAGCCCAGCGTTGAAAACAGGTCGGTTTTTGTAAAAAAATCTCCGAAACATCACGGGAGTTCAACTCCCGTGAAGTTTATGGAGAAATTAAACTTCACGGGAGTTGAACTCCCGTGAAGCTTAATTTGTGCTTAAAACTCCACGGGAGTTCAACTCCCGTGGAGTTGCAGTCAACAAATCCAGAGAATCGAGTCTCTGGCAAATTGTGACTGCAGCTTCACGGGAGTTCAACTCCCGTGAAGTTGCAGTCCACAATTTTCCAGAGATCGAGTCTCTGGAAATTTGGCACTGCAACTTCACGGGACTTGAAATCCCGTGAAGTTGCAGGTCACCCAGCATGCACAGCTGCTGTGCAGGTTTTGTATATTTACCTGTAAATCCTATATATGTTAATTTATTTGCAAACAACAATATATACATGATTCAACAATGAATTATAACTCATATATATGTCAATTTATTTGCAAACAACAATATATACATGATTCAACCATGAATTAAACACACACGATTATGTATATGAACAACAATTTATCTTCAAAAGTTCAGTATTTGAAAATTCAGGAAAGTTACAAAATTTATCAAAATAAGTTCATATACAACCCAATATAGCTCCCCTCCTTCCTCTCCCCCTGGGTTCCTGCTGATGAGCCGCAACTATCTGAGTATCCGGCTGTGTATGAAGCTGCGAAGTGCCGGCTCCATCGGCATGCGAAGTGCCGGCGTCATCGGCATGCGAAGTGCCGGCGTCATCGGCATGCGAAGTGCTGGCTCCATCGGCATGCGAAGTGCCGGCGTCATCATCACGCGGCCGTCGACGTCGAGTGTACGCCCGTCCAAATGAGCGAGACCTGTCCTCACGGCCTACGAACTCGTCGACGTGAGTCTTATGGAACACCTGCGCTATGCTCTTCTTGATCCTGCTGAGGAGACCTAACGCCACCTGATCCTGAATCTCAGTCACGTGCGCATCAATATCAGCATCAATGCTATCTAAAACACGGACCTGCGTGGTAAACAATTTATTAAGTATCAACTCAATAAAAAATATTATAATTTAGCTTAGAAACTTACGTAATCTCTCTCGTTCATCCCACTAGGGATGTAACTATCTGTCGGTGGGCGTGGCATGTGTCCAGCTAAAGGCTGTGGGTCACGCGTGATCCATCTACGTGTGATACCCCAATACCAACGCATATACGTGGTATAGTCAACAGCTGTGGGCCTCGTATCCTGTATGCAATCCCACCTCTGAACCCACCTGCCTATGTAGTCCGCACGGACTACGGCCCAGTCAGTCCGGTGCGATGTAGGGCGCCGCCGACGATTGATCTGCTCGACAGGATCTGGAATATGCTGAGAGAGTGTAAACTGCCGTAGCACACGGTCCGGTACATGCATCTCTACGATCTCCCAACAGATCAATGGAACTCTGGCTCTCCACAAGTCGGGACTATCTCGGCAGATAGGTGCAAGAGAATGTATATCGAGCTCCGGCGGTGTATAGGGTCTCCACTTGAACTGAAATAAAATAAAACATTTATCAGTATCATACAGAAAAACTATAATATTCATACTTCTTGAGTTTTATATTTACCTGTTCATGCTGGAGGCCATCAAGCTCATTTCGGTAAAACTGACGGTGACGCGTCGCTGATTTGTACTGAGCGTATCGCACGTTATACCTATATGCAGAATAGCGAATATATAAGTACAAATATTCAGGTTACGAATGAAATATGTGTGTGTACAATTATACCTGTATGCCAACGGATACTGCCCCTCTAAGTCACGGTGCATAAGTAAAGTGGGTCGTCCAATATGAATGCGCTCCCATGACCAAATCTGTATCAACGTACAGCATCCCTTGAATTCTTTATTCTGCATCAGAGATACTCTACTCAATTCTCGATACAAATATGCCAACACCGCACTGCCCCACGATAGTGCCCCGCATACACCAAAATCCTCCAGCAGTGGCAGCCATCGTGCATGTACGAGAGTCTTGCTCGCATCAGGAAATAGTACGCACCCTATCATGTGCAATATGTATGCACGAGCATGAAACTGGAGCGTCTCATCAGAGGCATCCTCTGGTATGTCGCCCTGAAATGTCTGACGAAGCCACGATAGCTTCATCGCACCACTCCTCAAGTCGGGAACCTGTCCAAGTAGCCGGGCACATACCTCCGGCCAACTATGATCGTCGGTGCCCGTAACTACCGGTCCATCAATCCGGAGCCCAAGTATGACGGCCACGTCCTGTAAAGTGATCGTGCACTCCCCTATATGCATGTGAAAGGTGTTGGTCTCTGGCCTCCACCTCTCAATCAAAGCAGTGATAAGCGGCCAATCAAGCCTGATATAACGAATCGTCGAACACGGTCGAAAACCGGCCTGAGCGATCAAAGCTAGTACCCTCTCATCCTCTATGACCCATGCCGAATGACTATGGGAATGCTCGATCATCGTGTACTCTGGTACGGGCTGCACATAAAACGAGAATCAGTTTTAAGTATATTCATTAAAAAATTACATTAATCGAAGAAATATATATCTAATTTATTCGTATTACCTCTCCCGAACCAATATGGTCTGAACAATGACTCGCCTGAAGGTACAAAACGTCGGGATTCTCCGGTCCCGGATCCATAATGAATAGACCTGTGATTAAAATATGAGCATATATACAGAGTGCATGGGTGGCGGGAAATGTCGTTGGAGTGCTCTTGGAATTCCTTTCATCCTATCGGATATGAATGTAATATGCCGCGTCCCCACACTAGGGATATGATATCTAATGCATGCAAAAAACCAAGCCCAATTCTCTGTATTTTCAACATCAACCACTGCGAATGCTAAAGGAAACAACCCGCCATCCGCGTCAACTCCGGTTGCAACAAGCAAAACGCCTTTGTATTTACCATATAAGTGAGTTCCATCAATGCTAAGAAGAGGACGGCAATGACGAAACCCCTCAATACAGGGCCCAAATGCCCAAAATACACCGGTGAACCGCCGTTCTCCGCCATCAACGGGGTCCGAAGATACTTCGTAGACAGTCCCCGGATTTTCTCTTTTGAGTGCTTCAAGATAATGAGGTAAGATCTCATACGATTTATCCCAATCCCCGAATATTTTTATCATCGCCTTCCTCCTAGCATTCCAACACTTGTGATATGATACATCCAAGTTGGTGGCTTTATGCACTAAAAGACGGATATCTTTCGGCCTTAGATCAAGATCCTCCCTCAGATGCGGTAAAATCAATCGATATATAAAAGAAGAGGACGCATTCTTGTTATTCATCTCTAATCGAGGATTGCTACAAGTGTGGAGTCCATTGTATGCCGTGATTTTGAATTGCCCACCTACTCTTGAACCCGAGCGTGAATTAAGCTTCCACGGACACCTCGCATTGCCGTCGTGGTGTCCACTATTATCTTCGACATCGTCATCTTTGCGATAGAAACAAACCACATTATAGCTTGTAGTATTATTTTTGGTTGGCCTGAACTTCACATTTTTTGCAATGGAATACGTGCGAATAGCATGGATCAATTTCTCCTTACTCTCGTAAAGATCTCCCTTGATGAATGAGAAGTCCTCGGCCTGTGTATCAACACCGCTATTAGTGCCAATAGGAACACTTTCCATCGCGGAGTTATCAATCCATTCATCTCCTTGAAGTTCATCGGGCGGCGGATCCTCTAAGCCGACATACTCATTATTAACATAAGCCCCGTCGATGTGTTGGATTTCCCCGTCATCACGATCTATCACGGTCATGCTATTAATTTGTAATCCCTCCTCTTCATCATCATTCTCGGATTCAACACTTGCATTATCTACATAATACAAATCAACGCCTAATACTAACTGGACACCTATTTTTGTTGTGACCCGGTTGATCACATCTACTGCACTTATTTCTCCTCCTAGCTCCTTCACGTCCGTCATCCATACTATTTCTAATACGCACGGAACGAGGGCGCCCCGCCGATCTTTTATACAGTGGAGGTAATATCCGTGGCCCATCTTGTGTCCAATGTCGACTATCGTATGGTGGACGAAAACACTCTTTGTAGGTTTGTTGATAGTTGTATGCAGAATACCAAGCGTCGACAAATTCATAATGTGAAATGCGAGCACCACCCTGTAGGTCGGAGCAAGCTGCTACAACATGTGAACAAGGAATCAATTGTAGTTGCGGTACATTGCAAGTGCACGTACAAGTGTGATCCACCAACATATTGACTTTGTAAGAGCGATTTTCTCTATGGGTTATTCCCTCGAGCACCTCCCATTCATTAAAACTGTATCGTACAACCTGAAAGGACCGAGCTTGTACAATCCGAGCCGCTAGCATTTCATCAACATTCGGTGTTAGCTGGGAGCGCATATTTTCACCAAGTTCTCGACGTCGAACAAAGAATTTATTAAGCCTGTAAAAAGTTTTAGCAACTAGTGCCTGTATTGGCATGCCGCGTGCTCCCTTGAGCACGCCATTGAAGCTCTCAGACGCGTTCGTAGTCATCATACAGAACCGTCGACCGCCATCCTCACATAAAGCCCACTTATCAACATTGTTTGGACCCAAACTAGTTTCGATCCAATCATGTGCGGCTCGTGAAGTGAACTTGATCCTCTCTCGTATTTGTTCATAAACATATTTTTCTGTTGCACAACCGACTTGCCAAAGTAAGTCTTGAACCTGAGCGTTTCCATACTTCTTCTTGAAATTGTCTCTAATATGTCGCAAGCAATAGCGATGTGCATGTGGTGGCGGGAAATGTCGTTGGAGTGCTCTTGGAATTCCTTTCATCCTATCGGATATGAATGTAATCTGCCGCGTCCCCACACTAGGGATATGATATCTAATGCATGCAAAAAGCCAAGCCCAATTCTCTGTATTTTCAACATCAACCACTGCGAATGCTAAAGGAAACAACCCGCCATCCGCGTCAACTCCGGTTGCAACAAGCAAAACGCCTTTGTATTTACCATATAAGTGAGTTCCATCAATGCTAAGAAGAGGACGGCAATGACGAAACCCCTCAATACAGGGCCCAAATGCCCAAAATACACCGGTGAACCGCCGTTCTCCGCCATCAACGGGGTCCGAAGATACTTCGTAGACAGTCCCCGGATTTTCTCTTTTGAGTGCTTCAAGATAATGAGGTAAGATCTCATACGATTTATCCCAATCCCCGAATATTTTTATCATCGCCTTCCTCCTAGCATTCCAACACTTGTGATATGATACATCCAAGTTGGTGGCTTTATGCACTAAAAGACGGATATCTTTCGGCCTTAGATCAAGATCCTCCCTCAGATGCGGTAAAATCAATCGATATATAAAAGAAGAGGACGCATTCTTGTTATTCATCTCTAATCGAGGATTGCTACAAGTGTGGAGTCCATTGTATGCCGTGATTTTGAATTGCCCACCTACTCTTGAACCCGAGCGTGAATTAAGCTTCCACGGACACCTCGCATTGCCGTCGTGGTGTCCACTATTATCTTCGACATCGTCATCTTTGCGATAGAAACAAACCACATTATAGCTTGATGTATTATTTTTGGTTGGCCTGAACTTCACATTTTTTGCAATGGAATACGTGCGAATAGCATGGATCAATTTATCCTTACTCTCGTAAAGATCTCCCTTGATGAATGAGAAGTCCTCGGCCTGTGTATCAACACCGCTATTAGTGCCAATATGAACACTTTCCATCGCGGAGTTATCAATCCATTCATCTCCTTGAAGTTCATCGGGCGGCGGATCCTCTAAGCCGACATACTCATTATTAACATAAGCCCCGTCGATGTGTTGGTTTTCCCCGTCATCACGATCTATCAAGGTCATGCTATTAATTTGTAATCCCTCCTCTTCATCATTCTCGGATTCAACACTTGCATTATCTTCTTGAATTCCCGTGTTAGTATCGAAAGCATTCGAAGTGCCCACGAACGAAGGACCGCTCATGTATTGTGATTGTGTCCAACATTCATCTTGTTGAGGAGATAAAAAGCCTACAGAATCAACTTCAGGATCCTCCAACATGCGGGAATACATTCCTTCGTAGTTCAACGATTTGCCCAAATCTCTCTGATGTTTTTCAATGAACAATTCGACCGAACGCTTCTCGTCGTGTAAGACATGAATGAGACCCATATCGTAGTCACTTGATATTTGAATGTCACTTGTTCTGTTCTCCACAACAGGATAATTGCAAACCACACTGAGGTGATACTCACGTGAGTTAGTTAATGTAAGTTTGTGTAATTCATTAACCAAATCATCGAAAGTACACGATTTTGTTATGAACAACGGTCTCGTCGTGCCTCCTTCATAAACGGGCATATTATTCTCGAGGTAATTAATCTTCCCATCATAAGAACAGAGAATTACAATTCGATCATTCATCGTTACCTCTGAAGAGTGAAAAATTCAATATCAATATTACACGAAAAGCCAAATAAATATTGATTGTTACTAATTTTTACATTTAGGTAGTAACTCTAATTTCCACATTAATTGATAATTTCACCTCTAAATACGCAAAATTATTTAATACGTCTTCACAAAATTCGTAAATAATTCACAATTAAATTCTAAAATCTAATTTATATCATACATATGTAAAATCTAATTTTTCTTCACAAAATCTAAATAATTCACAATTAAATTCTAAACTCTAAATACAATAATTTTCGAAATTATTGATAATTTTTTCTCTAATTTGACAAAATTATTGATAATTTACACACTAATTCTTCACAAATATCACAAAATTATTGATAATTTTCCTTCTAATTTTCACATTTATTGATAATTTTCCCTTTAATTTTCACATTTATTGATAATTTCCAATCTAATTTTCACATTTCTTCACAAAATTCGTAAACAATTCACAATTAAATTCTAAAATCTAGATTTCTACATGTAATCACAATCAAATAGTGGGAGAATACAAAAATTAGAGGGTATAGCTTTTTTAGAAAGAATTTACCTTTTTTTTTTGAAAATCTAATTCATTGTTGAATCATGTATATATTGTTGTTTGCAAATAAATTGACATATATATGAGTTACAGGTAAATATACAAAACCTGCACAGCAGCTGTGCATGCTGGGTGACCTGCAACTTCACGGGATTTCAAGTCCCGTGAAGTTGCAGTGCCAAATTTCCAGAGACTCGATCTCTGGCAAATTGTGGACTGCAACTTCACGGGAGTTGAACTCCCGTGAAGTTGCAGTCACAATTTGCCAGAGACTCGATTCTCTGGAATTGCTGACTGTAACTCCACGGGAGTTCAACTCCCGTGGAGTTTTAAGCAGAAATTAAGCTTCACGGGAGTTGAACTCCCGTGAAGTTTAATTTCTCCATAAACTTCACGGGAGTTGAACTCCCGTGATGTTTCGGAGAATTTTTTACAAAAACCGACCTGTTTTCAGCGCTGGGCTGAAAACAGGTCGGTTTTTGCAATTATTATCGAAAGCGGTCGTTTTTTGCAATTAAATTCCTAAAATGGTTGGTTTTGAAAATTTGTCCTCTATTTAAAAGGCCACTTCCCTCCCTCTCTTATTAATTAAACCAGAAAAAATAGGGGCAAATAGCACGAGGATTCCAGTAAATCCGCTGACTTCTCCTCGAAAAAATCCTTAAAACTCCCGACGAAGCAACGACGAGCAAATGAAACGAAACCCTAACTCGTGCCAGATCGGCCAGCACAGCCGACACGATCCCCCAGCCCCCGGCATGATCCGATTCCGACGCGGAGACGCGCGTCATCGTCCCTCTCCAAGGTGTCGTCTGAGGCCGAGGAGGCCTCGTCCTCGGCTACTTGATCCCCTGCACTCTTCTACTCTCTTCCAGCAATACCTCCAAATCCCGCCACCGACTCACAAATCAACCTCCGCGCTATCCTTCATCCGACGTCGACCGCCCGCCGCCATCCTCCCAGTCCCGGTCCCACCTCTCGCCACGTGGATCCCTTGCGCCGGTGAATGTGTCGTCGAGGGCTGCTGTCGTTGCTGGGGCTAAAGATTCTGCTTTTTTTGCTGGGATGAAGAGGTGCGCTGAGGATCCGTACGATCCGGCGGATAACCCCGATGGCGTGATTCAGCTCGGAGTCGCGGAGACTAAGGTAGGTAGTTAGCTAGCAGCTCGCTTGGTTGGAAGATTTGATTTTTATTTTAGATTTTTAGGGTTTCGTTTTTGTTTTGGAGCAGGTATCGCTGGATCTGATTGGGGACTGGCTAAGAGCAAGTGCAGCAAGCTCCCAGTTGGGAGTCCTAATCAACAAGCTCCCAAGAGCTCTCAAGACATGACCCACCATTTCCAATGCCACATCACCCTCCTAACTAATGTTGATCTCCAACAAACTCCTAGTTAGGAGCTCCATAATATCAAAAAAAAACCTCTTCTATTTTAGTTTTGTAACAATATCAAAAAACCCTCTTCCATTTAACAACTATTTTCAACTTGGGTTTTGGGTTTAAAAGTAGGGGGGTTTTGTAAAATTTTTTTTTTAATGCTTGGGAGCTCCCAAGAGCTCCGATGGGCCCCATTGGCCACATCAGCCCAAGGAGCCCTCACGAGCTCCCATCGTCACGTAGGCCTTGAGAGCGACGGTGGGAGCTTGGTGCACTTGCTCTAAGGAGGAATGTGGACAGGGTGTTTGTGGATAAGAGGAAAGGGGATTTGAATATTGAGGGATTGGCGATGTATCAGCCTTTACATGGGCTGACGGATTTGAAAATTGTAAGTAACCGTTTTTGTT